GCTCTTCAGCTCAAGGCGAGTGCTCTACCACTTGAGCCACAGCTCTACTTATGGCTGTTTGGTGGTTCATTGGAGCTAAGTCTCATGGACGTTCCTGCCTGGGCTGGCTTCTAGCCATGATACGCACAGATCTCAGCCTCCTGAGTAGCTGGGATGATCGGCAGGAGCTACCAGGGCCAGCAGAAAGTTAATTCTTAATTCTCCTTGAGCAGATGGACTCAGTTTAAACGGTTGTAACTTTTTCAAAGCCTTTAGTGTACGATCTGAAGGCCACTCATAATCAAACAATTGTTTGCTGTTTTTCTCTGTAATTTATAATTATGAATGGCGTTATGACTTAATATGCAAAGCTAAGCAGACTGGTTTAGTGGAGAAGGGTGTGTGTGTTATTTGATCTACATTTGTTCCTTGTGACTTTTCCAATGACATAACTGGAGGTTTGTCTGATTTATGATCAGAAGTCAGACTGGAAATCAACACATTCGGTTAACATCGCCAAACCTTAAAAACAGTGGCTCAAAAAACACAGCTTAAAAAGTACATTGGAGCCAGCACCATTGGCTCCCGCCTGTCAGCCCAGCTACCCAGGAGGCTGAGATCTGAGGATCGCGGTTCAAAGCCAGCCCAGGCAGGAAAGTCTGTGAGGCTTATCTCCAATGAACCAGCAAAAAGCCAGAAGTAGAGCTGTGGTTTAAGTGGTGGACTGCTAGCTTTGAACAAAAAAGCTAAGGGACAGCACCCAGGCCCTGAGTTCAAGCCCTAGTACTAGCATCCAGATTAAGTCTACTGAGAGTATGAGGAGTCCTGAATTCAAGTCCAAGAACAGCCACACACACACAGTAGAAAGTTAAAGCAGTTTTTTAATATGCTGCTGCTCTCTCTCCAGAAGTGGAAGTACAATACAGTACAGTAAAGGCTTGATGAAGTGACTCATTAAGGTTAACGGCAGACTACGATTGGAGCATGGCTTGTGGTTTTCCTGAGTTCTGTGTAGGCCAGAGAATCGGTGCTTTTTTGTGTTATTTTTCATTCTGGCGGTTCTGCAGTGTGAACTCGGGCCCCGTGCTTGCTCGCCGGCTCTGGTTGCCTCCATTCCCCCAGCCCGTTTTTTCCTGCGCTGATTAATTTTGAGATAGGGTTTTGCTTCCTGACCAGGTGTTTCGATCTGTTTTTGGCTTTCTGTGGTAGCTAGAACGACAGACAGACAGACAACGCCAGGTGGAGATGGGGTCTTTGCAAAGCTTTTTACTGTCCAGTGTGGATCTAATTCACAGAAAGGCTAGACTGGAGGCTTGGCTCAAGCGATAGAGCCCCAGCCATGACCAAGTAAGCTGAGTGAACGGGAGCGTGAAGCGCTGAGTTTGAATTCCAGTACTGGCACAAAGAAAAACCATATCTACCTTTGAGCATTATACTGTAAGTGATACACTTAAGTATTCCTGCAGCCATGCTTTTTTTTAAATTTGTTTTTTTCCAGCGAAGCAAAATTGACTTCTTCAGAAGGGTTGGGCCATCAGCCCAAAGTCTGGACATCAGTCCAAAGTCTGGCCATCAGCCCTAAGTCTGGCCATCAGCCCAAAGTCTGGACATGAGTCCAAAGTCTGGCCAACAAGAGAGACAAGAGCAGGTAGGCTGCTGGCTTTTTATACCTAACCCAGCAGGCCCCACCCCTCTGCTCGGATTGGCTGGGCTCAGGTTCACCCTCTGCTCCTGATTGGCTAGTTTGAAGAAGGTAAAATGTATTTACACAAAGTAACTTTGAAATTAAGATGAGCACTGCACCAGTAATCTGAACATATACCCATCCTCTGCTGTTTCTTGAACAATCCGAGCTGGGTCTTAATTCCGTCTTGAGAGGGAACCAGTTTAAGACAAAACCTGACCTGTCACAATTCCTTCCCTCAGCCCCAGCCAGCCACGCTCAGGTTTAAAGCATATTTGCCTTCACGAAGTTCCTCTGGTTCAGATCTTCAGTGTCCTTGGAAATTTCAGAGTCAGGACAGTTCTTTCTTCAAAATTAAAGTTAACATTTCATCCATACATCCATTTCTTTTTTCCTTCTTAAAAAGCAAGCCTGCAGCAATGAAACCTGTTGGAACTATTGTTCATTTTAATTTAATTATTTTATTATCTGTGAGTGGTCGAACAAGGAGTGGCCATTTAACAAAGGATACAATATCAATTCAACAACCTTACCCATCCCTCCTCTCCCCGCCATTCCCTCCCTTTTCCCATTTTTGTAGGAGAAGGGGAAGGGAGAGGGCAGACAGAATGAGTGTGATCTGATTGCACGCGCGCGTGGAAATGGGACAAGAAACACTTTCTCCCCTCCACGCCAATTAAAAAGAAAAACAAACGATGCCTGTAATTTTAGGCTGCCATTTAGAGACAGAGCCGGTATGTGAAAAGCGTATGTTCTCACCTAGTTCCAAAGGGAGATGTGTGTTTCGTATCTGTCCCTTACATCTGCCACGTCAATTCCAGTACCACCTTCTGTTTGCCCTATCAGTAATTGAGGGGTGTTGAAATTGCCCACAACGATAGGGTACTTGTTCATTTCTCCCTGTAGTCACTTTCTAAAAAATGTACTTTGATGTCTTTATAGACAGGTTTAGATTCCCCCCCCCCCACTGTGCTGGTCCTTGGGCTTGAACTCAGGGCCTGGGCGCTGTCCCAGAACTTCTGTGCTCAAAGCAAGCACGTTACCAAATGCCAGAAGTGGATCTCTGGCTCAAGGGGCAGAGTGCTAGTCTTGAGAAGAAAAAAAAAATCCTCAGGATTCTTGGGTTCAAGTCTCAGTACTGGCGTAAAAACAAGCAAAACCACATTCTAGCTGGGTACCTGTGGCTCATGCCTGTCATCCTAGCTGCCCAGGAGTCTGACAGCTGAATATTCAAAGTCAGCCTGAGCAGAATGAGCCACCAAAAAGCCGGATGTGGAGGTGTGGCTCAAGTGGTAGAAGCACCAGTCTTGAATGAAAAAGCCAAGGGACAGTGCCTGGGCCCTGAGTTCAAGCCCACACAAATGAAAACCAAACCAAACCCCACACATACTCTTAGTCCTCATCCCCAGAGCTTTAAATTCCGTACTTCTGCAATACACAAAAAGTATATTATTTCAGCAAGTGATTCAGGCAGCTAGACTAACCTAGGAAACACTGATTATAGAAGAGAGGTTAAAATGGACAAAAATAATATGGCAAGGTGTCTAAGAAAATTAGCTAGGGATGACAGAGATAACCAAATATGTTACGCATCTAACTACGGCATATCTATACATCAGCGTCATGTATAACTACTACACATCAATACAATAGCATGTGCACGGTGATCGAGCACCAGCCTTGAGCAAAAGAGCTCAGGGACAGCCCTAGACACAAAACATGAGTGAATACAGGAATACACAAAAAATCAAACAGATGACTAAAGGGTGTTGTAAAATAAAGAGAGAGGAGACTACGTGGGGATATCGTTCAATGGTTCCAACCACAGCCATTCTGAAAATCAGTGACTGGGCATTTCTTAGAATGCTTGCTTGCTTCTCCCTACAGAAGAAGTTCCCTTTGCTGGCCTCCAGACCCACTTCCCTTACTAGAAATGGTCACAGTGAAGTGTTTCCTTCCTGGGTGTTCACAGAAGAAATGGAGTAGTTCATTGGGCCGGTCAGTCATGGAGAGCAGGGCTGGGTGTTTATCGCAGGGTCCCTGTCTGTGGATCACAGCTTTAGTTCCAGTCTTTCTGTGTTACTGGGGAGCGGGAAGGTGAGCCCCTGGGGGAGTGTGGTTCTCTGTTGGAATGGAAAGGCATGAAGGAACGAAAGAAAACGTCATTGCTGCTGACTGCACGACTTCCCTGTGCTCTAAGCTGAGGCTGGGCTATTTTTACCCTTGTATTTGGAATTCTTAGCGTGTCTGCACTAATTGGAGAAGCTGCCCTTGGTCTCGGGGCGTTTTGAAGTGTGATGTGGGGGTATTTTTAGGACTGTCTGAAGCCTTTTGGATTCTGCATAGCCCGGAGGACTAGAGTTTGCTTTCTCTTGACCCAGTAGGACTTCCTGTTTTTAAGAAAACACAGTCCTGAAGTCTCTTCAATGGCCTTTCTTGCGTGCTGGACAGCCGGTGGACAGCCACCTTCCAGCCAGCCAAGCAGGAACGAGGGGGCATGTGCTAAGAAAAAAATCAAAGCAGCAGCAGTAGTGCCTGAGAAAATGCGCATCTTATTTTGTAGAGGTCGGATCTGGTCCAGAACTGGATGATGAAGGAGGCGTCTGTTCCTAGGGAGGAAGTTTGCCCCTGTGATTTGGCCGATCGTTCCCAGTTGAAGTTGTTGCTGTTTTGTTGGCAGCGGGTCTTGGACCCAGGGCCTGTCCCTGAGCTCTTTTGCCCCAGGCTGGCGCTCTACCACTGTGAGTCACAGCTCTACTTCCGGTTTTCTGGTGGTTTACTGGAGATCAGTCTCACCGGGATATTTCTGCCCAGGCTGGCTTTGAACCGTGATCCTCAGATCTCAGCCTCCCGAGCAGCTGGGATGACAGGCGGGAGCCATCAGTGCTTGGCTGAGCAGTATTTTTTCAGGGCCGGCCATGCGTTAGAAGTTAATGAACAAGGTGGAGAATTAGACCACGTCTTGAGTTTTTGAAAAATCAGCTAAACATTTCTAAAGGACCATAAGGTATTGTGAAAATACAAAATCAATCCTGGCGCCCGGGTCTCACCTGAAATCCTGGCTCCTCAGGAAGCGGATCATCCCTGAGGATTGTGGTTCAAGGCCGGGCAGGAAAATCCGTGAGCGTGTGATCTTCAAGGAAGCAGCAAAAGCCTGGAAGTGGTGGCGTGGCTCGTGTGGGACAGCACCAGCCTCAAGCCAAACAAAACAAAACAGAAAGCTAAGGAAGAGCATGAGGTCCTGAGTTCCAGACCCAGGACTGGCACACGCGCATGCATACACACACACACACAGGCTTCTAGTGCAAGTGATACTAAGACTCTTGGTAAATATTTGCTTTGGGTCTGTGGCTGGTGACTGTCAGTGCTCATGATGTAAATGTGTTTTTCTTCTAGATTAGTGGATGACAGATGCGTGGTGAACCCTGAGGCAGGGGACCTGGCCAACCCTCCCAAGAAGTTCAGAGGTGAGGACCGCGCCTACGGACAGAATACGTACTAACCTCACGCGTCACGCCGCTGCGCCGTCTATAATGCGGGATACGTGGGGAGAGGCCGCTTTTGCGCCTTCAGCTATAAGAATAAGTAAATATTATCGCTGCACACAATGAACCTCTGAACATTCGTCCAGAAATTCCCCTGCGGTCTTTCTGGTATGTATTGAGGGATTCACAAGGCGAGAACAGTTTCCAGTTCTGTTCTGCGGAACAATCGTGTGTCTGTGGGAGGAATCTGAGCAGCCATGGGGAAAGGCCACTTTTTAAGCCGGCGTGAGTTCAGGGAGATAATATTTCTGTATTCGGGTGGCAGTGTCCATGATAAATGTTACATTGTTCGCTGTTGGCTTTTCGTTTGTCTATGTTAAGTCTTCTGTGAGTGTGACAGGATTTCAGTAACTCGGCTTGTTGATTTTTTGGGGGGGTTGTTGGCTGGTCCTGGGGCTTGAACTCAGGGTCTGGGCGCTGCCTCTGAGCTTTTTCCATCAAGGCTGGAGTTCTGCCACCTGGGCCACAGCGCCACTTCCGGCTTTTTCTGTCTGTGGTGCTGAGGAATTGAACCCAGGGCCTCACACACATGCTAGGCAAGCGCTCTACCCCTGAGCCACCTGCCCAGCCCCTCCCTGAAGGTTTTAACTCTCTTGATCTCTTTATTGAAACTGTTGGTGAATCCAAACACTCTGTATATAGACGTGGATCCTGAGAATTAACACGACTTATCGAGGCCCCAGAATTTTCATAGTTGGTGTGTGAGTGCTTGCACAAGAGCAATTATGTCAGATAAAACTGTAAGGCTCTGTCACACATACACACACAGAATTCAACCCTGTCCATCACCATCATCCAAGCCAGGTGCTGTGGCTCACGCCTGTCATCCCAGCCACACGAAGGCTGAGATCTGAGGGTCAAGTGCCCAAGTCAATCAGGGAAGAAAAATCCACGAGACTCTTCTCTTTTAATGAACTGGCAAAAAGTTGACTGTAGAAGTGTGGTTCAGGTGGTAGAGCACCAAGCCATGAGTGGAGGAAGCTAAGAGTGTGTATGAGGCCCTGGGTTCAAGCCTCAAGGCCGCTGTGAAAACACCGTCGATGATTGTAGTTTGTGTTTTGTATTTCTGTGTCACAAAGTATTACTTACACCAGCTTAGACCGGCCACTCTCCTCCTAAAAATGTGGCCATTAAGTACTGAGACGTTCAGAATTCTCCTGGCGTTTTATCTGAAAACCTGGTCTTTGCTGGGAGCCTTTGGGAGCTTTAGAAGTTGGGTGTGAAAACACTGCTCACCGTTAGTTAATTGCATGTCTAAAACAGCAACGATGCCAGGGGCCGGCGACTCATGCCAGCGACTCACGCCTGCGATCTCAGCCACCTGGGATGCAGAGATCCAGAGATCACAGTGCAAAGCCAACAGGGTTAGGAAACTCAGAAAGACTATCTCTAGTCACCAAAATGCTGGACATGTGGTATGGTTCAAGGGGCAGAGCTCCACAAGCAAGCTAAGCAATCATGAGGTCCCTGAGTTCAAACCCCAGCACAAACAAAGAAAAGAGGACTGATGTATCAACTTTGATTTGTAGTTTATTTTATTTTTTGTCTGTCATGGGTCTTGAACTCTGGGCCTGGGTGCTGTCCCTCAGCTCTTCAGCTCTGGGCTGGCGCTCTACCACTTGAGCCACAGCACCACTTCTGGCTTTTTTTCTTTTTGCTTATGTGGTACTGAGGACTGGAACCCAGGGCCTCGGGCATGCAAGGCGAGCGCTCTACCACTGAGCCACCTTCCCAACCCCTGACCTGCAGTTTTAATTGTGAAGTTCCTCTCTTAAGAACAAGAACCAGAAGGATATTAATAATAATTGCTAATTAATCTGGTATTAAATTAGTAATTAGCAGTTCAGTTCAGTAGCCAGCACTACCCTGTCCAAGACTGAGGAATCCTAATGACCGAACTGCTTCACTCTGAGGTTCAACATGGCCTTCTTCAATGTCACCTGATTGCATCTCTTAGCGTCTATCCGGTGCCAGGCCAGCGGCAGTGTGCATGACTGTAATTCAGACTGTTCTGCAGGCTGCTCTGCAGGCTTGAAGCTCCGAGTCAGCTCAGGGCAGAGAACTCCAGGAGGCTCCTCTGTCCCAGCAAGCGGCAAAAAGCCAGACCAGAGCATGGCTTAAGTGGTAGAGCACCACCCGGCGACAAAACCCCGCCGACAAAACCTGCCGAGTGAATGTGAAGCCCTGAGTTCAGATTCCTTCCAGAGAGGAAATGTTACATCCTCTAGAGATTTATTGATTGAATATGCAGTGTGTGTGTGTGTGTGTGTGTGTGTGTGTGTGTGTGTGTGTTCTGCTGTGTCCAGATGAGTCAGAGATAAATGCTGTCAGCACTCTAATCTACCGAGGGAGATAAGGTGTGTGCAGACTAATGATCACTCCTGGTAGACACAGATAAGGACCAATTACAAAGAGATAGTGTGGGAATTAGGGAAGGGCGGACATTCTCGCTTCCCCTTTGGGCTCTGGGAGCGGGACTCTCTGTGTGCGTGGGAAATGCCCTCCTTCTCCTTTCATGAATGCAAACCCTCGGGTGATCCCTGGCGTCCCGCAGACAGCCTTTCCTGGCAGCGGCCTTTCCTGGCAGCGGCCGTGGGCGCGCTGTGGCGGCTTTGGGGTGTGATTCCACCCTTCAGAGAGCTGGCGGCTGCCGCTATTGGGGCAAAAGAGCGAGGGGGACCCCATCTCCACCCCTGCGACAGGGGGGCCGAGGCGGGTCCCGGTGTGAACAGGTCTGATTTCGTTTATGGAAGTTGCCGCTGCGTGTCTCCTTGAGGTGAAGGAATCATTAACCTGGCTGGGCGCTCTGTGGTGTCTGGTGCTGTGTGCTCAGTCCTGGCCGTGCGCTCTGTGGTGTCTGGTGCTGTGTGCTCAGTCCTGGCCGGGCGCTCGTGTGGCGTCTGGTGCTGTGTGCTCAGTCCTGGCCGGGTGCTCGTGTGGCGTCTGGTGCTGTGTGCTCAGTCCTGGCCGGGCGCTCGTGTGGCGTCTGGTGCTGTGTGCTCAGTCCTGGCCGGGCGCTCTGTGGTGTCTGGTGCTGTGTGCTCAGTCCTGGCCGAGCACTCGTGTGGTGTCTGGTGCTGTGTGCTCAGTCCTGGCCGTGCGCTCTGTGGTGTCTGGTGCTGTGTGCTCAGTCCCACCCGGCTGTTGACTTCTCCGGAGGGCGGTGGACACCTCTCCTGGCCCAGCCCGGCCCTTGGGTAGCGCTGTAGTGTTCTAGGTGTGCACAGCGATTCCTGGAGAAAGCACACGCGGCCGGCCCTGGCCAAGTGTGTCTCCACCACCCACAAAGTGCTGTGACACGCTCGTCCACAAGGAAGTGATAATAACCCAGTAACCCAGTGTCACACC